AACCCCTTCGGAGATACGTGTACGGCTCTTTTTAATTTTCGATTTTAAATTAAAATTATTCCAAAAAGAAAAAAAAAAAATTAAAATTAAAATCTGTCGAAGAATTCCTCGATCTTTTTTTCGAAAACAAAAATGCTCGAGGCAAGTGAAGCGAATATACATTGTTTCCCTTGACAAATCGAAATGATGATTTCGCTCGTTCCAAAATTTTGGCGACTTTGACGTTTTTGTAGAAGAAGCGAAGAGAAGAATGGTCAACGATAAAATTACAATTACTCGATCGATCAATTCGATCCAATTCGGTCCAAATATATTCTATCAACTTGGCATCGAGGATTAAGTGTGTCTCGTTGTACAGATATATTGGTTTAATGTGAAATCGAACGGTTAATGTTTGAAATGAGATTCGATTCGGAGGGATTTGTTTCGAGGGATTCGGATGTGTTCGAATAGGGGATTTCATCGGGTGAAAGATGCGATGGGATTTTTTTCTTCCTTTTTCCCTTCCCAAATTCACGAGTTTAGTCGTCAGGATTGACGGTCTTCTTCTCGATAATTAAACAAATGGAGATGATGTGATTAATCTAAACTAGTAGAAAATTGGAAAATTTTTTAACATTCTATTTCTCGTTATTAATTCAATATTTTACGTCGATTATTCAATCTCGTTGATGTTACGATGCCTGATATGAATGAAATAAAAAAAAAAAAGAAAGAAAGAAAGATTTTTATCTCGACAATTTTTCACGAACGAATCTCGAACGTTGTCCTATTTAAATCCCTTAACGTGAGTGTGAATTAAAGAAATTGAAGATCAACGAGTATATTATACAATTGAAATAAGCTTCCGTACATCGAATACATTAATATTCGTCTTTATTTATTACCAATGGAGCTTCCTGATTATAATTAGCTTGGCATAAATAAATTATGCGGCACGCATAAATATCAGTCGGATATTATTAACTTGATATATTACGTAACCAGAATTTACTCACATCATTAGATAATTACCGTGATATATTAATCAACGTAATCATCGTATCGAACGTGTAATATAACTTAGAGGCAGTGTTACAATGATTATATCACAACTATCGTATTGTATAAATAAAAATGTATGCGAAAGGGAGAAAAGAGCGCATTAAGCAAATACACTTTGATTATATACTTTTGTGCATGCTTTGCGATTTCGAATCGAAATATAAATAGTATCATGAATTTTTCACGACAACATCGAAAGGATATCGATCAACAACCAGGCAATAGAACGTTCTACATTCTAAATCGAAACGTTGGTTGTTTGATTTATCTCGAAAAATCCCTTTTAAAAATTGTACAAAACTTTTATTCGAATATTCTTCGGACGAAAATTCATTCAGAGGAAGCTAGCATTGAAACGATCAAACTAACGAAATAAATCAAACGAATTAGATATTTCTCTGGGCGGAGGGGGGGGGGAGAGGAGAAAGTTTTAGATTTGTTTCCAAATTAATTATCGGCCGAGGTAAAAAGAGTTCGCGTTTCTGGAGCAGTGTGAGAAAAATTGAAAACATCTTTCACGCCTAATAAATCAAAGATGCGCAGTGTCGCGAAACACGAAAAGCATTTCGAAAGAGAGTTCGTAAAGATGGCTGCTATAACGTGAAAGAAGGGAGAAACTGTACGTAACTTATTCAATAAAATGCTGACTCCATGAACACGAGTTTTTCTTCAAACTTTCCCTTTGATATCGCTGTGAACTTTCTCAAGTATATATATATATAT